AGCGAGCCGCGGGGACACCTACTAGAGGGGAGGGGAGCTGCTGTTGCTTTGCTCTCGCGTTGGGGATTGGGATGGTGGTGGTGCGTGCTTTTGACCGGTCAGGGAGGCTGCGGGGGGTGGGGGGTGGCTGGCTGGCTATGAGTACTACCGAGATGCCGCTCTGGACAGGTGGGGGGGAAGCGGTAACGGAAGAAGCGGTTAAGCTAGCGGAAGGTCAAGCCGGGCGGATGGATTAACGTAAACCTACGGCTACTGAGACGTTGCTCCATGCATTACCGCCAGCATTTAATTTATATATTTATGCAGGATTTTCGCGGGAAATTTATATTATAATGATTTTTTTATTTTTGACATTATTCATAATGGTATTTGATAAAATAATGCAATTTGATAAATTCATATCCATCTTCAAGCTTAAGCCGACGAGAAGGCACAAACAAAGCAGTGCGGCCTCGTCGTTGTTATTGTCGATGTTTGACTGCAGCTTATGTTTTGTGGGGAAATGTTTATTTATTTTATCGCTTCGTTGGAACGGACGTTGAATTAGTGCTAGCGGCAACATTTAGTTAACACCGTCAAGAAAATGTTTAGTTTTATTTCTTGGATAGCATTTGTTTTCTATTATAATTGGACATGATTAATCTTTTTATTCGCAGATAAGTCGTGCCAGCGACTCCAGCGATAATCACGTTAGTATTGCTAGCAGCGCTTAATTTCGTTTGCTAGCAGGGTTTAATTTTCGGCCATAATGAGATGGACGACGATCGGCGTGGGTCCACCAATCGAAACCACTAATCAAATCCTTCCTAGCAATCAGATGCGATCGCGTATCGCCGTAGGATTCAAGTACCAAAATATTGGCTTGTGCCCCTTCTTGCATACTACACAACGGGGCACTCGAGCGAAAACCACGTTACTATTGCTAGCAGGGCTTAATTTTGTTTGATGGTACGATTTAATTTTCGTCCATAATTGGATGGGGGACGCTCGGCATGAGTCACCGATCGAAACAGTAGATCGGTAACCTTCATGTCATCAGATGGAGTCGAGCACCGCCGTCGGATCCAATCATACCAAAATAATCGGCTTCTGCCCTACCTACACCCCTCACAATGTGCCCCATATTGCACCATCTTTATTGCAACCATGGCTTGCACAAAAACTCGACGTCGGCATCGCTCTGTCGTGACCTGCGGTCGCTGTCGAGGAGGACGCTCACCGTAGCAAAGCGCTCCCACACATGCAGCGGCACTGTGACAGCTCACGACAGCTCAAAATTTGTCGCAACAACGGGGGCTGCCGCTCACAGCATCGCCGAATGTTACAACATGGTCGGACACCATCGTAACTCACTGCACACTGCTTGCAACATCCCCGACCTTGTTTATAGGCTGTAGTTGCGCGTGCGTCGTTCACAACATGATCACCCGTTGTCGCATCTCGTCGGCAAGTCATCACGGCACTGTTGTCAAGGTTTCGCAATACCATCTGCATGTTGTCACGGCATATCACGTCTCAGGTAGCAACATCGTCGACTTGCCCTTTGCAACCAGTACATCATTGTCCCGTGTCGCGGGACGATGTGCCTCCGGTTGAAGCATGCAACACGGCAGTGTGGGCTCGCACCATCGATAATCGACTCATTGCATCACGAGTCAAGGACCTACACAACATCGACGCTCATAGTTCATAAACAACGGGTGGCCTCATTCTAGGATCGTTTAGCATGGTATAAAGGAGGTGAGTAGACTATAGAAAAATTAAAGGAATTGTTTTCCCAATTTAAGTTTTCATGACAATTTTATGATTTTCTATCGGTAGCTTATCAATTACCCTACACATCAAAGCCTAGTAGAGTATAGTAACCAAGGACAAACACTCTACAGGTAGAAGTAAGAGTATAGTTATTAGACAAATGCAAACACATGGTGGCTTTATAAAAAAACTCATGGATTGGATAGTTGGCGTCATCCTGCTCCACGTTCACGGAGTTTTCGGACCACTAAGGTCATAGAATCGCGGAATTCCTGATTGTGAGTTTCACAAAGGAACGAGTGCATGGATGACTATCGTCCTCTAAGGGTCCATGAAAGATAAACCAGCATATGTCATCATGGCTTACGACCACGAAGATCTAACCTCACTTGGGGTAGATCTTCATGCGGTAGGCGATCTCTAGGCATATAAAAACCTCTTGGTTTCTTCACAGCTTGAAGGCTCTCAAGCACATAGTTGACCAAGGAGGCGCACACCCCTGCTAATTGTGAATTGTGTTGGAATTTTTTCGAAGAGGAGAGGATGATGTATTACGGTAGAGATAAGTATTTCCCTCAATCATTAACCAAGGTTACCAATTTTGTTGGAGAACCACACGGAACCTCGTGAACAACACCTGCACACACAAAAACAAATACTTGCACCCAATGCAAACAAGAGAGTTGTCAATCCCCTTGGCAGTTACTTGCAAAGATTAAATCTCGTAGTAGTAGAAAATAAAGTAAATTGCAAAACAAAATAAAAGAAATAAAATTGCAGCAATATATTTTTGTCCTTTAATATATGATAAAAGTATATACTCGGGGGCATAGTTTTCACTAGAGGTTTCTCTCTCGAACACATAGCATATGGTGGGTGAACAAATTACTGTTGATCAATTGATAAAAAAGCGCATAGTTATGAGAATATTCAAGGCAATGATCATGTATATAGGCAACACGTCCGAGACAATTAGACCGACTCCTGCCTGCATCTACTAATATTACTCCACCAATCGACCGCTATCCAAGATGCATCTATGGTATTAAGTATAGAACAGAGTACGTCTTAAGCAAGATGACATGATGTAGACAAAGTAAACCTGATCAATATGAATAAACATCATCATTTCATCCATAATGGAAAAAATACAAATGCATGTCTTGTCCCTTTCTATCACTGGGATATAGACCACTGCAAGATTGAATCCATCACAAACCACCTCTCCCGTTGCAACATAAATCAACTTAGTTGGCCAAACCAAATGTAAATCAACTTAGTTGGCCAAACCAAACGAATAAATTGGAGAGAAATACAAAGTTATAACAATTATGCATAATAAAGTTCAAAGAAGACTCAATTAATATTCATGAATAATCAGATCATAAACCCACAATTCATCAGATCCCAACAAACACACCGCAAAATAAAATTACATCGGATAGAACTCCAAGAGCATCGAGGAGAACATTGTATTGAAGATTAAAGAGAGAGAAGAAGGCATCTAGATACTAGATATGGACCCGTAGGTCTATGGTGAACTACTCATGCATCATCGAAATGGCAGCAAGGATGATGTAGAAGCACTCCATGATCGATTCTCCCTCTGCCAGAGTGCCGGTAAAGGCCTCAAGATGGGATCGCGGGAGAACAAAAGCTTGCGGTGATGGAAAAAGTGTTTTGGGTGGCTCTTTGTTGGTTTTCCAATATATGAGAATTTAGAAAAGGGGAATTAGGTGAGACAGAGCCACGAGGGGCCCACAAGGTATCCGAACGTGCCTACCCCTAGGCGCGCCCTATTGCCTTGTCATCTCCTCGTTTGCCTTCTGATCTCCTCCCAAAACTTTTAGGGTCTCTCTTGTCTAGAAAAAAATTGTCAAAAAGTTTCGTAGCATTTGGACTCCGTCTGGTACTGATTTCCTGGAAAATCAAACACAGGCAAAAAATAGCAACTGGCAGTAGGCACTGTGTTAAAAGGTTAGTCCGAGAAAATGATGTAAAATAGCATATAATTGTTTATAAAACATCCAAGATTGATACTATAGTAGCATGGAACAATCAAAAATTATAGATACGTTGGAGACGTATCAAGCATCCCCAAGCTTAATTCATGCTTGTCCTCGAGCAGGTAAATGATAAAAACAAATTTTTTGATGTGGAATGATACCTAACATATTCATCATGTAATCTTTCTTTTATGGTATGAATATTAAGATCCAAATGATTCAAAGCAATAGTCTATAATTAGATATAAATACATCAATACCCAGGCATGCCAACAAACAATCATGCCTTTCAAAAAAAGTGCTAAAGAATTCTATCCCTACAGAATCATATAGCCTTGTCATGCTCCATCTTCTTAACACGGGGTATTTATCATGCACAACCCCGATGGCAGACCGAGCAATTGGTGCA